GGGGGGGGGCGCAACACCAGACAAAAAAAAGCACAAAGCACTCACATATAGTTGGGGTAGTCGTAAATCGCGGGCTCGTCGATGCCGGCCTGGAAGTCGCGCAGGTAAGCCATCATCTTGTTCTCGTCCTGGGCGTACAGCCACTGCGTGGTGCTGGCGTTGCTCCACTCGCCCGACGTCAGCGTGATGTGCGCGCTCGTCGCGTGCGGCCACGACGTGGCGGCGTCGGTGGCCGGGCCCGCGCCGTTCCAGGCGGGGAAGACGTCTGGTCGTGTCTCAATCAGCACCATCGTCGCTTCTGGATGTCTCCTATCCGGCCCGGCTGGCTGGATGGGGAGGAGAGGGAGCAACTGCACTTACATTCGTCGACCCACAGCGTGTGGCCGGGGTCTTCGCCGCGGGCGAGCATGCCGTCGACGGTCTCCTTGTAGACGGCGAAGGTGTTTTGGTAAAAGGCCGGGGTGGAGTTGGTGTGGCTCTTGCCGTAGAAGAGGCGGTTGTAGCCGTAGGGGTAGTTGGTGAGCAGGTACTGCTGCAAGGACTTGAGCGTGTACGTCTGGAGGAGGAGGCCGTCGGCGTTGTCGAAGAAGTGGCCGAAGGTGGCGTTGAAGTCGGCCTGGGTGCCGCCGAAGCGCAGCGCGTTGAGCTGCAGCGTGTAGACGCGGTCCTTGACCGGCGCGAGCGCGTTGATCTCGACCGGGTCCTTGAGGTAGTACAGCAGCGCGGGGAAGGCGTCCGGGTCGGTGTTGGTCTCCCACCACGCGGCCGTCTTGTTGAAGACGTCGTCGGCCTTGTCTTCGGCCCAGGCGATGGTGCCGACGTAGACGGTGCCCGGGTCCGGGTAGGCTTGGATGTAGAAGTTGGTGACGACGCCGAAGCCGAGCCAGCCGGCGCCGGTGGCGGCCCAGAAGAGGTCGCTGTGCTCGTTGTAGGGGTTGGCGTAGATGATGGTGCCGTTGATGAGCACGACCTCGAGCCCGACGAGGCTGTCGGCGCCGACGCCGTAGCGGTTCGTCTGGAAGGCGATGCCGCCGCCGAGGAGGAAGCCGCCGACGCCGATGGAGGCGGCGCGCGGGCCCAGGAAGGCCCAGCCGGTGCCGTCCAGGTAGTCGTAGACGTCGCCGGCCTCTGAGCCGCCGCCGACCTTCAGGATGGCGTATTCGGACGAGTTGCTGGGCGGCGTCGTGACGATTTCGGTGCTGCCGATCTTCTGGAGGTCGATGATGACGCTGGGGGACTGGGCGCCGCCAAAGTCGGCGTGTCCGCCGCCCATGATGGCGAAGCCGTCGATCCACAGCGGGTGGACGTTGGAGTAGAACTGCATCAGGATGCTGACGTGCTCCGGCGTTTCGGGGTAGACGATGGCGTCCGGGTACGTCTTGCGCTGGCTCGTCCACACACGGGCAATGGTCGAGCCATACCTGATGTCGCCAGCCTGGGCAATTGTCACGTTGCCGAGGGCAGTCTGGAGCGCAGAGAGCGCGTCGCTCTTGGTGGTGAAGTTGGCGGAAGCGAACGTGGTCAGCGGCGTCTCTGGGATGTCATAGGTCAGGTTCCGTTTCTGCCAGGCGGTTTCAGCACTGGCGGCGGGCAGCAGGCCCAGCAGCAGGCTGCCGAGGAGAGCGAACGAATGCATCGGACAGGGAATGAAACAGTGAGCGTATCAGGAGCGGCTGCTGGGGAACAGCTGTCGAGTGTGCGGCCATGCCGACAGCTTTTATTGTGAACGACCGTTTGCAGCCCGGCATCCGACTCCGAAGTTCGGTGCACTGATTCATGTCCAGTTCCTGTTCCTGGTCCGTCGACATGGGGCGGTGCGGCGAAGGCCGCGGAGGCCGTCTGAGGAAAAAGCAAGGACAGGCGACGTCATGGGCATACCGGTGGGATGACTGGGGTCGGCGGCTTGCGGTGAAGCGGAGCTGTGGGAGCATCAATTTCAGTGGTGGAGCGCCGGGCTAAGTCAGGCAGCTCAGCAAGCTGCAACCCTAGCATCGGATGGAGCCGTGGCTATAGACCGGGGGCCTATACAGGCAAGATCTTCAATCAAGATAAGATGATCGCGAGGGATTGTCGGTCCGGTCGCCAGGCACGGTCCACTGAGCCAGCGGCGGATCCCTGGTGCAGCAGGCCAGACTGCCATCCCAATTTCTCTGACACCCCAAGCTGGGATGCGTCGGCGTTTTGTCATGGCTGCTATCGCGCGAGCAGCACTGCCCCGGCACCTGTCCTGCAGCCCTTTTCTCCGACTCGCCCCAGTATTAGTACCCGGCGAATTTGGAGGCTCACGCCTGGTTGCACACTGTAAGTTTACTTGCAAGACCTTTCCCGAAGATGCGCTCATACGACTCTCACGCACCGAAGCCCCGCGTCCTATTCTTGGGCAAGCCTGGGTTTTCCGGAGGCGGCATCGAGAAGAACCAGAAACACTTCGACATTGAGGTACGGCCAAGGTCCGCTTCCAGAGACATGTTGTTGCTAAGCTCCGCTCCAGATCCTCGATGCTTCGACACGGGAGGAACTGCTCGCCAAAATACCCCATGTCGTCGCGTCCCACGGGCCGTATCAGGCAGTGGTCTGCCGCCTGGGCACCCAGCCCTTTGAGCCTTTCGACGCCGAACTCCTTTCGCCGCTCCTACCGAGCCTCAAAATCGTCGTCTCTGCGCAGATGGGCCATAACGACTTCGACGTCGACTGGATGACGTCGCAGGGCATTTGGTTCTGCAACACCCGACACGCCACCGGAGAAGCTACCGCCGACATGGCCCTCTTCCTCATTCTGGCCGTCCTCCGGGACACCAGCCGCGCCGAAAAGAACTTCCGCGAGGGCCGTTGGCGACAGGGACTCCAACTCACCCGAGACCCGGCCGGATTGACGCTGGGCATCGTTGGCATGGGCAGCATCGGGACCTGCCTCGCGCGCAAGGCATCTGCCTTCAACTTGCGCATAAGATACCACAGCCGGAACCAACTCCCGGCAGATGAGGTGCCCGCCGGAGCATCGTATTGCGCCACCCTGCAAGAGCTCTTGCAGACGTCCGATATCATCTCCCTCCACTGCCCACTGACCCCTGCAACGACCCACCTGATGGGCGAAGCCGAGTTTGCCATGATGAAAGAGAAGTCATATCTTGTCAACACTTCGCGCGGGCCCATCGTCGACGACGCGGCGCTTATCGGCGCTCTCGAGAGCGGCAAGGTTGTTCGAGCTGGCCTGGATGTCTTCGGAGGCGAGCCAACAGGTGTCAATCCCTACTTCATGCACAGCGACAAGGTAGTTGTGCAGCCGCACATGGGTGGTCTGACCGAAGGGTCGTTCGCGAGGGCGGAGGAGGAGTGCTTTGCCAACATCCGGAGCTATTTCGATTCCGGCAGACCTCTTGCACCGATAAACGAGGTCCGGATCCGAAAGGACTCGTTCGATCCCGAGACGGAGTGAGACAATTGCAAGACTGAGCGCCTCCGCGCGACCGGTAGCGATCCCCTCGCATTTCATCTCTGTAGTAGGCAGCTAGACATCGTATCCAAATCCAGCCGTGATTCCCACTATTCCGGGACCGCCCTACGCTCGTGACGGAAACAGCACCGGCGGATCCCTGGTCGATTTCAACTTCCGCTGCTAAAATTGTGGGCCCGTGTATATCGTTACTCCTACTTGCACCATCGTCTGGGTCAGCGTAAATCCGCCGTCTGACTCGCGGCTATCAGGCACGCCGTTGTGACGTGGGGCCCGTTCCATCATTGCCCGATACCGCGTGGCCGCACGCGGCAGCCACTACACGGCGGGCGTGGTGTTGAGGTATTAATCGGATCTCATCTTTGCGATTGCGGAGCCGATTCATATGAGCGACCGTTATAAGTCCGATCACTGCACCGGTCTCGGTCCGGTGCAGCTACTATCCAAGCACTGGCTGCAGGATAGCTGCTGTGCCCGGACAATTCGAATCTCGAAACCCCTCCAACCCGCAATACAACACCATGGGAAGCCTTCCCGATGCCGAGCAGCCATGCGTCACGCTGGACCAAGTGATCCGGCGGCGCGCCGAGACCCATGCCGACCGAGTGCTCCTTTCCTACCCGGCGAACGAGTCCGACTTCGTGGACTACACCGGCGCGGATCTGGAGCGGTTAACCAGACTCGCCGCCCACCAGTACGCCGAAGCGTTCGCGCAGCTGGACGACGCGACGCGCCCCGTCGGGCCATCCGGCACGGTCGCCATGGTGGGCGTCTCGGATCTGGACTACTACATCACCTTCCTCGCCCTCCAACGCCTCGGCCTCAGCTCCATGTTCATCTCCCCTCGCCTCGCCGACCAAGGCTTCACCCACCTCCTCGCCTCGACCCGCTGCGCCGTCGTCATCGCCTCCGGGCCCTCCCAGGCCACCATGGCCCGCCTCCGCACCTCCTCCAACCTCCCCATCTCCCTGATCCCCATGCTCCCCACCACCTCCCTCACCGACTCCCCCAAACCCCTGCCGCCGCCGCCCTCCTCCTCCGACACCACCACCACCACGCCACCTCAACGCTTCATCATCCACTCCGGCGGCACGACCGGCCTCCCCAAGCCGGTCCCGCTCCTCGCGCGCTCCTGGCTCCTCCAAGCCGCCGCCATCGCGGGGCGCATGCCGCGCGCGGCCGCGCTGTCGACGCTGCCGCTCTTCCACAGCTTCGGGCTCGCGACGCTGCTGCGCTGCCTCGTCAACGGCGCGCGGCTGGCGCTCCTGTCCGCGGCGCGGCCCGTCACCGCGGGCGCGGTGCTGGGCGGGCTGGACGCGACGGGCGCGGCGGCGCTGGTCACGGTGCCGTACGTGCTCAAGTTCCTTGCGGAGGCGGAGGCGGAAGGGGAAGGAGGAGGCGGAGGCGTGTTTGGGCGGCTGGCGGCGCTGGAGCAGGTCGTTGCGGCGGGGAGCGCGGTGCCGGATGCGTTGGGCGACGCGCTGGTCGTCGGGGCCGGGGTGAGGCTGTTCCATCTGTACGGGTTGACCGAGTGCGGGGCGCTGATGGAGCCGTCGAGGGAGCGGCGCGAGCTGTGGAATTGGGTCACGCCGTTGCCCGACGCGGCGCCGTTTCTGAACTTCGAGGCTGTGGCGGCGGCGGCGGAGGAGGAGGAGGGGGAAGGCGGCGAGACGCTGTACCACCTCGTCGTCCTGCCGGGGCTCAAGGCGAAGGTCCTTTCGGATCGGCCGGACGGCTCGTATGCGACAAAGGATCTCTTCAGGCGGCACCCCGAGCTGCCGAATCACTGGAAGTTTGCTGCTAGACTCGATGACATCGTCGTGCTCGTGAACGGCGAGAAGGCCGACCCGGGCCCGCTCGAGACCGCCGTCACGAAGAACCCGCTCGTTGCCGCTGCCGTTGTGTTTGGCGCTGGCCGCGACGCACTAGGCATGGTTGTCGTGGCGTCGGAGCGTGCCGCGGGTCTGAGCGAGGCACAGATCGTGGAGAGGATCCTGCCGGATTTGGAGCGGGGGAACGAGGGTGTGCCGGCGTATGCGAGGGTTGCACCTGAAGCGCTTGTGGTGAAGGGTGCGGGTACGCGGTTTCCGAGTACGGATAAGGCGACGGTGATACGGTCGTCGTTTTTGAAACAGTTTGCTGGCGAGATTGAAGAGTTCTATGCGAAGAGAGAGAGGGCGAAGGAGGATGATGCGGATGAGGAGGATCTCGACCCGCTCGACGATGCTGGCGTGCGTGATCTGGTCCGTCGAACTGTCCGCGGGGAGTTGAAGCTTGGGGAAAGGGGCGCGGATCTGACTGATGAATCCGACTTCTTCGCTCTAGGAATGGACTCTCTGCAGGCTACCAATGTGCGGTCTCGACTACTGAAGAGAGTCAGCCTTGGTGGTCGCGGACTTGCCACCAATGTCGTCTTCGATCATCCGACCGTGGAGCTCCTGGCCACTCACCTGCTGAAAGTCCGAGCTGGTCAGGAAAACGAACAGCAGTCGACCCAGGACTTCGCCATGCGTCTTTTGGAAAAATACAGTACCTTTGACAGCCAGCCTGCTCCCAGGACAGCCACGCCCCCAGAAAAGGAGTCCATTGTAAGTCTTCCCCTTCCCATCCAACAACCACACCTACGCTGACCACCACCCAGCTCCTCACCGGCGCCACCGGAGCCCTCGGCATCCATATCCTCTCCGTCCTCCTCCCCAACCCCTCCATCGCCACCATCCACTGCCTCGTCCGCGCATCCGACGCGCCCACCGCCCTCTCCCGCATCCACACCGCGCTCCGACGCTCTCACCTCCTCACCACCTCCTCCCCCTTCCTCTCCAAAATCTCCGCCATCCCCTGCGACCTCTCCTCCCCCCGCCACGGCCTCGCCGCCATCCCCCCGGCCACCCTCGCCCACATCACCGCCACGACCACGCGCGTCATCCACGCCGCCTGGAGCGTCGACTTCAACCGCTCGCTCCGCAGCTTCGACGCCGCGTGCCTGGCGCCGACGCACGCGCTGCTGCAGCTGGCCGCGGCCAGCACCGCGGCGCCAAAGCCCGTGTTCGTGTTCGTGTCGAGCATCGCCGCTGCGTTGCGCGCGGGGGCTTCGTCGTCGTCGGCGGCGTCGTCGGCGGCGTCGACGCCGTCACTGACATCGACGACCACGACCACGACCACGACATCCTCGCCACCATCCCCTGCCTCCTCGTCGCCGGCCGGCGGAGCTCGCATCCCGGAAGCGCTCTACCCGTTCTCCGCCGCCGCGGACGGCATGGGGTATGGCCAGAGCAAGTGGGTCGCGGAGCAGATGTGTGCTGCCGCTGCCGCTGCCGCCACCGCTGCTTCTCCTGGCGGCGGTCCTGGCGGCGGCGGTCTCGGCATCGAGACGCGCGTCCTGCGCGTCGGCCAGCTCTGCGGCGACACGGCGCACGGGGTGTGGAATCCGGCGGAGGCGGTGCCGACGACGGTGCGGGCGGCGCTGGGGGGGTCGTCTGTCGGGGCGCTGCCGGTCGTCGAGGGCGACGAGGAACTGTCGTGGTTGCCGGTGGATGTGGCGGCGAGGGCGGTGGTGGAGTTGGCGTTTGCGGAGACGGAGGCGGAGGCGGGGGGGTGCAGGGTTTGGCACGTGGAGAACGAGAAGAGGGTGAGGTGGAACGAGGAGTTCTTGCCGGCGTTGAGGAAGGCCGGGTTGGCGTTTGAGGCGGTGCCGCAGCGGGAGTGGGTGGGGAGGTTGGAGAGGAGCGAGCAGGATGGGGAGAGGAATCCGCCGGTGAAGTTGTTGGAGTTTTTCAAGAAGAGGTATGGTGGGGCGGCGGTGGTGGGGGAGGAGGAGCACCCAGCGCATCCGGTGTTCGATATGACGGAGGCGGGGAAGTTTGCGCCCAGTCTGCGCGGAGGAACGGTGGTGGATGAGGCGCTTGTGGAGAAGTTTTTGCGGTTTTGGATGGAGGAGTGGACCGGGGAGACTGGTAGATGATGAGGCAAGAAGCTTGAGAGAACTCAAATCCTTTTACGGATGCCTCCTTTAGGTATTCAACGTCGATGATTGGTTCTCTGCCTACCCAAAATGCTGAGATTTATGATAAAAGGTGAAGACCAAACGAAGTCTTCTTCACCAGTCGAGATGAGGGCGACATGCGGAGCCATCTTCCCGAACTTCGAATTTTCGAAGACATTCATCTTTATCATATGTGAGGCTGCATGCTGCAGCACAGTCGGGTTGAAATCGGCGGAAGAACTACTGTCCGATAGACTGTGACACGGGCGATGACGTGAGGGTGGAGGAGGGGAAGACGGGCGGTGGTGTCGGCGATTGGCAGGCGCACGGACGCGTCACAACGCGTGAAGCTCTCTCGGCCACCAGCACCGACGCCAGAGCTGCGACATCACTTTCGACCATGCTGCCCGAGGAATTGCTCCTCACCACGCTGAGCGAGAAATTTCCATGTCGTGAACTGCAGATTCGACAGCTTGCAGCTCTCTACAATGTCCGCCTCCACCCAATTCCCTCGCGCCGCAAGCTGACACCTCCAACAGCCGCCGCTTCCCAGCCCTTCTACCCTCATTGTACATGGCCTCGATGCTACCGGCAAGACTTCGATAGTGCGCGGCGTCCTCGAGACCCGCAAACTACCTCACGCCATCATCAACTCCCGCGAGTGCATCACCGGCCGCCACCTGCTCGAGCGCACCCTCGCCGCCTGCCTCGACGCCGTCGACGAAACCGACCCGGACACACCCCTCGACCGCGCACCGTACGCCCGCTGCGAGAACCTGAGCGCGCTCTTCGTCCAGCTGCAGCGGCTGCTCCACGGCACACCCCGCTTCGTCCTCGTCTTCGACGGCGTCGACAAGCAGCGCGAGGCGCCGCCGACGCTGCTCCCCGCGCTCGCGCGGCTGGGCGAGCACGTCCGCGGCCTCAGCACGCTGCTGGTCCTCTCGGCGCCGCCGCGGCCGCGGCTGCTGCACGCCGCCAGCACGCCGTGCGTGCACTTTCCGTCGTACGCGCGCGACGAGGCGGTGCTGATCCTGGCGCGGCGCGGGCCGCCGTCGACCATCTACCTCGTGCCGCCGAGCCCGTCCAAGGGCTACACGGCGGACCTGGCGGCCGAGGACGACGCGTGGGTGTGGACGCGCTTCCTGGGCGTGGTGTGGGAGGCGCTGGCGAAGAGCGCGGCGCGCGACGTCGTGGGCTTCGCCGCGCTGGCCGACAAGCTGTGGGACGCGTTTGTCGCGCCCGTCCGCGACGGCGCGTTCGGGACGCGGGATTTCTCGCGGCTGCTGGTGCATCGGCGCGCGATCTTCCAGAGCGAGGCCGCGCTTGTGGACAGGGTGGTCGTGCCGCAGGAGTCGGACGAGAGCGGCGGCGGCGGCGGCGCGTCGAAGCCAAGGGGTAAGAAGATGATCTGTCTATACACACATGGCCAAACCCACCATTCCACGCAACTCCCCCTCCCCCTCCCGTTGTACGCGACTGACGTGTTCGCAACAAAAAGCCACCCACGACCTCCCCTACTTCTCCAAATACCTCCTCTGCGCCGCCTACCTCGCCTCGTACAACCCCGCGCGCCAAGACGGCATCTACTTCATGAAGGCCAGCGAGAAGAAGCGACGCAAGCGCGGCGGCGGCACCGCCACCTCCACATCCGGTCGCCGCGCCGCCGCCCAACACCGCAAGATCTCGCGCCACCTGCTCACGCCCTCGGCCTTCCCGCTCGACCGCCTGCTCGCCATCTTCCGCGCCGTGCTGCCGCCGCAGGACGCGCCGCCGGCTTCGGCGGATGTGTACACGGCGGTCGCGACGTTGAATTCTCTAAGGTTGCTACTAAGGAGTGGCGCCGCGGGCGCGGATCCGCTGGATGGGAGTTGCAAGTGGCGGGTGAATTATGGGTGGGAGTATGTGAGGGATTTGGGGAGGAGTGTGGGGTTGGAGATGGGGGAGTATTTGGCGGGGGTGGTGGATGCGTGAAGTGGGTGGAGGTGGGGAGGCTAGGTAGTGTGCGTACGGTGTTGAGTGTGCAGAGAGAGGTTGTGTTGGGTGCTTGTTGTTGGTTTTTGTTTTTTTGTTTTTTGGTTCGTGGAGGAGGTGTTGGAAAAGAAAAGAGATACCCAGAAGCAAAAGCGGAGATAGAGATCCAGTCTGTGTACAGTTAGTCAGTGTTTTTTCTTTTTCTCCCCTTAATTCCATAAGGCTGCTAGTGGAGTGCCTCATGCATGTACGGAAGCCAGGGTCATGAACCCTGAACCCAAACGAGGACAGTTAGAACGTGTACTTTCGGCACACAATGCAGCAGAGGTGACAGCTATGTCGACCAGACTAAAAGCCTTGGCGACATGCAGCAAGCGGTAGCAGACCCTCATTTCCCCCCGAATCTTGCTAAGGTGCCTTGCCTTACCCTAGCTTCCACTTCCGCCCCACCTACCCTCTGACCCTGGGAAAACCGCCGCCGCGCTTCTGCGAGCTACTAGGAACTCAAGACGAAGATGGAGAAGGAGAAGAAGACGAAGAGAAACGCTCCAGTCTACACGTTCGCAGCGCCCGCCCGCGCGCTTTGCCACCGTTTGAGCGATGTCATGGTGTTGGGTTTCGTTGGCCAATCAGATGCCTTGGATCTGAGGCTTAGGAGGGTGAGGAGGGACGATACACACTACTGGCTTTGATGCTTTACTTTTCTTCCTTCGCAAGCAAAAGGCTTGCTTGGAGAGGTAAAGACGAGGAAGACAACGATCAAAGTATTTCGTAGATACAGGCCTTTGGAATATCTCTACGCACTCACTTTCAATCCGCATATGATTGCTCTCTCATTCTACCATCGACTGAACGACTCATTTGATATCGCAACGACTTCTGAGCGCCGCCAGGTTTCCCGTCCAAGAAAACAAAAAAAAAAAGGGAACACAGCAGGTGCTCGCAACAACAAAGGCGCATGCGCAACCGGACGATTCTCTTTCTCAAGCAAGTTTTTCGATTGCCCATTCTCAAAAAGTAAAATTACAAAATGGCGAAAGTCACGAAAAAAAAGAAAGAGAAAAATGCAGTCCATACTTACGGTGTGCCCGCGCAATCCACTCGCAACGCTACTTCAAACGGGCCGCAAACTCCCAGCGGAGCTCTCTCGAACCCGCCCTCTAAGCGCCAAAAAAAAAAAAAGGGGGGGGGGGGGATCTTGAACAACAGATGCGGCAAAAAGTAGCGTGCTGAAGAGGGGCTTGGAGGGGAATCATGGCGAAGATTCGACGTTCCTTTACTTCCCGGAAATGCTTTCTCTCTCTCTCTCCGCTCTCCGCAACGGCCCATCGTACAGACTGCCCCCAATCCATTCTCCCGTCTTCTATCCCCGTGAGAGAGCCCTGTCCCGCATTCCAACATGCAGCCTTTTTTAGTTTTCTCTCTCCGCTCCTCCTCTTCGTCGTTGTCGTCCTCCTCCTCCTCCGGCGCACATGAAAATCGGATAGAAAAACGGTAGAGCTTTACACAGGAAGGTTAAACTTCTTCCCCTGAAGAACCCTGTTGGGAAAGTTAAAAAAAAAAGTAGGTCAGCAAAAGCTAATCAGCGCCGCCATCCCATGTCCAATGCCCACTCACTTGGTGTAGTAGATCCAGAAGAAGTCCGAGTACAGGATGGTCTGGATGATGCCGGCAATCTGGGCGATGGGGTCGTAGTAGCCCTCGGCGAACCAGCGGTACAGCCAGTTGGGGATGTACAGGGCGCGGTAGGCGCCGAGCGCGAAGAGGTAGTGCGTCGTGATGGTCTCGGCCTCGCCCGTGCGCTGCAGCATGAAGAGCTGCGGCAGGATGGCCACCGACTCGAGCCAGATGGAGAAGGCCCAGAGGATCTGCGGTGCGCGCGCAATGGTTAGCACACGCATGTTGTCATTGTTTGATCGCCCGCTCCCACCGCCCGGTGACTCCTTCTAGCTGTGTCGCCGCGGGCAGGGAGGAGGCAAGGGAGAAAGCGAACGCGCAACGCACCTCGGTCGGGGTGTACTTATACGGGAACAAGATGGCCAGGGCGGCGCTAGCGCCGAGCAGGTACTGGACCTTGAAGGTGTCGAGGTTGGGATCGTGGGTGGGGCGGAAATCGTTGAGCATGAGGTAGACGGTGTAGGCGGATGACGAGATGAAGATGATCTTGAAGATGGTGTTGTACAGGGCCGAGGGGTCGTAGAAGGTCCACAGCAGGTCCATGTAGCGGGTTACGTAGACCATCAGGTACAGGAACTGCGACTTGAACGAGATGCCGTTTGCGCTCTAAGGGCCCCCAATGGTTGAGTCAGCTTCCGGTTGTCATTCTCTCGCTCGGCCGCTCTTGCGGATGTTGCGCGCGCGTGGGCGCGCTCTGCAGGCTCGGCGGAGGACTCGAGCTTCGGGGGTACGCACGTTGGTCGTCTTCATCTTGTGAAGCAGGATCAGGATGGATATCAGGTGGGACAAGTCCCCTGCGCAGCGCCATGGTCAGAGATTGAGTATATTCTTGGTGGTCTCGGGCAGAGCGGGATGGGTGGTGGTTTCTCGTTGAGCTCTGGGTTCACGTACCCAGCAACCGGAAGATATTCATCTTGGACAGCAGGCGCCAGCAGCTGGGCTGGAACAAGAGATACGGGGCGTACGAAGGGCGGGTTTCCTGGACGGCTCGACGGAGGTGTTTGCGCAGCTCCGCGGGAGAGCGATGGAGCTTCGATCTGGACACGTTGGAGCGTGACTAAGCGATGAAACGCGCGACACGGCGAGGAATCCTAACCCTGCGCTCCGGCGCAACTTTATTTCGACGCGCCCGCTGCGGCTGTGCGTGCTATTTTTACCACCTGGCCGTCCCCCCAAGGCGTGCGCGCGCGTGTTGCGAGCGTTGGCCTGGTGAAAGCCGCAATCATCACCACCGGTGAGCGTCGCTGCAGGAATCGCAGCATCTCTCTGTTGAACTCAGCTGCCATGTTGGCCCGCTGTTACTCCCGTGAGGCCGCTAGGCGGTATTTCCGCCATGCATGACACCAGCCACATTGTCACCTTGCCCGATTTGCTCTGGACCCTTGAGTCTGTGTGACCAGGGTTCGGCATCCATCCTAAGGCGCACAGCACAGGAAATGAAGCCCAACTTTGCTGTAATAATCCATGTGTGTCCAGTCTGTTCGAAGCCACCCAGCTCTCGGGAAGTCCTGTACAATCAACCCCAACTCCAGAACTCCTCCACAGCATAGAATATACGCCTGTCTTGACCCTTGGCCTGTGCTCCGCCTCTCCCGCATGCGGCGTTTTTCCCTTTTTTTCCCCTCGTTTTTACAACGGTTCCTAACATCGAAACGGCATGGGCCAGGAACCCAACATTGACAGACAGCAACAGACGCGCCACTTGACCACAAAAGTTTGTATCGACGTCATCGCTTGGTGTTGAGCTTCTGTGAGCTGGTTTCGCGCGCTGCATTGTGGCGATGTGTTTTTCTGGGGGCATATGGTCGGTGCCACGGTGGCTTCTGTGGTTCCGGTATCCTGTGCGTCGCCAAGGGAGTTGGTATCGTGCTCCGAGTCCGTGCTGGAGCTAAGTGATTTTGTCATGGTGGCGATGCTAGGGAGGTTTAGCAAACCCAGGCGTATCCGCAACACACTCCAAAACGGAGGGGTGCCCGCACGAGCCAGTTTTGAGAACGGCTTAGTATATAGTCGAGATCCGTGTCTAGTTGGCGACATGTAGCGATTTTGATTGGGGGGCTTTGTGCGCTATACCTTATATAATACCACCTTTCCTATCTTGAGTCTTGCTTCTTGCTTGCATTCAATGCAAGCGAGAAGCAACAAGTGACCGAAACGGGGGGTGAATCAGCGCGTGCGGTGACAAATCGGTCCAAAACTTGTGTTATGCAAGGCGAAACTGCGGTTGCTAAACCTCCCTGCTGCCATGTCCCGTTCGCTCCTACCTACTTGCCACGGCGCTCTTCAACGCCGGCTGACGTCACGCTCGCCGGATTGAATCAACGTTCAAGCAGGAAGGTACGAATAGCGGGCCAGATGCTATCTCACGCTTTCACTAGGTTGCTATCTAGACGCTCGGGGCCGCTCGGCGCTTGTTGCTGCCTACTTTCGCGCCATCCGGCCGCACTGTCTGCACTGAACCTGCCGGCCCGGCTAGAGAGGAAAGAAAGGCTAGCGCCATTGCTCCCTTACTGCCGCAGACTTGGCCTGCCGGTGACTTGCTAAGCCCGCCGATGACTTGCTAAGCCCGCCGATGACTTGCTAAGCCCGCCGATGACTTGCTAAGCCCGCCGAGGAACCGTGTGCCGACGCCCCTGCCAGTACCGTTTCCGCCGTTAGTTCAATCCAGCCCGGCGATGCCTTCCGTCTTGCTTGATGAGCAGGATCGGCAATGTGGGAGGAACCGATCCAGTGTTACCATTATCGAGAAGCTGCGTCGTCAGCTGTTGGTTCAAGGCCGCTGCCCACCGTCTCCGCCCTTGGCGCCTTTGACCCGGTCTTGCCCAGCTCACATCCGCACCAGCGAATACACCATGGGTTTCTGCGGTACCATTGTTTGTTTCAGGGTCTCCAAGGCTGCAGTAGTGCAGTATTTCCAAGCCTAGCTCCGCAGTACTATATAGTGTACACATTATAGGCTTCTACGGTACCGCTGTTCGAGGATCTGCATCGTAAGCTATTGCTAAAATCTCCGAGCCTGCCGCGTACCGTCCCGTTGGGGGCGGGACGGTGCCGCCTTCTATACTATGACTGTATTTTGAGTAAGAGTGGGCTGCGTCTAAGGGCTCTACCTCCGGTGCTGCCTTCCTACTATGGACTTCGACTGTATCGTTGGTAGAGACTGATGAAAATTTTCTTCCCAAAAGTTTCTTCCCCACACAACAGTTGAATCAGCAAGTCGTACACGCTGAAGCATTGAGCCACGTGATGCAACTGAAGCCGTGAAGAGGCGGAATCACCCTAAAACTCATCTCGGGTCTCATTGGATGGAGGGCCGTTGCTTCTGCCATTAGTCATCTCCTGGCATTCTCAGCTAGCTAACGACACTCTCCGGTATTCTTACAGGCGATTTGTTCCGTCACAGTAGACGTGCGTTGAATGGTTTGGAAGTGTTGGTGGACCCTTAAGGATGAAGTATGCTATCCCCATCGCTATATTTCGGACAAGGACGTTATGCGTTACTGTGGTGTCCTAAATTGACTAGTCCTCTCCTGGCGTTCTCAGATAGCTAAAGACAGTCTCCAATATTCTTATAATAAACATGCATTGAATGGTTCGGCAGTGTTGGTGGATCCTTAAGGATGAAGTGTGCCATCCCCATCCCAATGGGTTTCAGAGAGGGATATCATGCGTCACCGTGGTTTCCTCAATCAACTGGTCCTCTGGTGCACCGTACGATGCATTGAATAGACCCTGAGGCGCGATTGTGGAGCAGGCCATTCCCTGTTTGAGTCGCTTCCGAGAAGTAAGAGCAGTGGCTAGCAGCTTCCAAAGAGCCACGGTAGTGACAAGCGCACATGAGGAAAGACCCTCCCATCGTCGTAGCTCATCCCTCGCTCATTGGGCGCCTAGAAATCTCGTACTTAATCCTCCACGCATCCTTTCTTCCTCCAACACACTTCACCATCCCCGAGTCTCGGCTACTTGTCCAGCACTCTTTCAGACCCCCCATCCCCCTTTTCACTCTTTCAAACACCACTCCCACATCACCCACTCCCATCAAAATGGCCCAAGTGCCCAGATTCTCCGCTGACCAGGTGGAGGAGGCCAACACCCGCTTCTCCACCATCTTCAAGGAGCACCAGAGCCTTGACAAGGGGCAGAAGAAGAAGAGCGAGCACAAGCACGTGCCGCCCAGGACGCAGCTGGATCGCTGGCAACGATCCCTGACCCTCCAGGCGAGAGGGCAGCAAGACCTCTTCGACGGAGCCGGAGAGCGCCACTGGGCGAGGAGGAACCTCGGCCTCAACCCCAACGGCCGCGTCGTCTGGAAGCCCACGCGCGGCGAGGAGCTCCGGACCGCCAGGAGGGGCACCAAGAAGGTGGTGCCGCACATGCAGATCGTCTGCATGGAGGAGTGGGGCGCGCGCCTCCTCGACGCCCACGTCGCCGCCTCTGGCGCCCACAGAGGCCGCGACAGCACCTACAACTGGGCTCGTGATCCAGAGAGGGGCGTCAGGGACCCCGCCAACGAGTCCCGGCCGAGCGACCGGTTCGTGAAGCCTCCTATGAAGGAGGTCATCATGGACTTCATCAAGCACTGCCCGGAGTGCAGCAGCAGGGGCGCTGCCCACACCACCACCACCGCCGCTCCTGCCGTCGTTCCCGACGCTCCTCTCGCCGCCCCTCTCGTCCCGGCTCCCGCTCCCGCCGCCGCCGCCATTCCCGCCGCCGCCATCCCCGCTCCCGCCGCCGCCACCGCCCCTCTCGCCTCCTCCTCCTCCTCCTCCTTCTGCTTCCCCTCACCCTCCTCCTCCTCCTTCTTCTTCCCCCCCTCCGCCCCCGCCGCCGCCGCCGCCGGCCAGCCTGCCGGCTTCGTCCAGTTCCAGGACGAAGCGTCCGCAATTCCAGACCGGGATTTCCTGGCCTGGAACCAGGCCCGCACCCAGGATCTTTTCCTCCTCCCCGCCTTCGACAACATCGAAGGTCGCTACACCGCTGAGGACTACTTCAACCTCGCGGATGACGCGTTCTTCCTGAACGAAGGTTGGGAGTAAGGGGGGAAGGACTTCCTGCGGCAGTCAGGCTTCAGCGCAGTCAGCTCTCTGGGGTTTTGATGGGAATTGGTTGGCATGTGCTCTGGGGTTTATGGGAAAGGGGTGCTCACTTTTCTCTTCTCTTCTCTTTTCTTTCTCTCTACCCTGCTCATCATCTCTTTTTCTTTCCCTTTGCTTTTTCTCTTCTTTTGTCTTTTGTCACGTTTTTGCGAATCTCACGCAGCGTAGAGATACCCAAGCGGTTGAAGGAAGGCTCCTCCCGCACTGTTCTGTTTTACGTTATACCCAAAGTTTGTATTTCACTTTTTGATTTTAGAGTTTCGCTGTTGGGGCTTGGTTGTTTGTTCTCACTGTTGGGTTCTGGACCCTGGTTTTCACTGTACTCGGAGTTCAGGCGTTTGGGTTTCAGATTCATAGCAATATACCCAGGACCGCCCTGTGCTTCGTCGCCGTTACCGGCTGACACATGAGCAACCTAGCGGTTGACGAAGAATGTAAGGTTGGGTCTTTTTTTCTCTGTCTACACATGAATGATTCTGTGCAACGTGACTGGTGATGTAGTTTACTAACGATAGGACTTCTCGCCTACGTGCGTGGTGTTGGGCCCGATCTAAGATCTGCCACGTGGTCGGCCTCCTACCCCTGATCTTACTGTCTACAGCACGTGTTGTCAACATGCGAACCACCAAGCCTCGTAGTCAACTAAAGTAATACTTACCGGAGGCGGTGGAGGAACCTATACCGCAAAATGGGCAGCCTACGGTGGCACCGCGGTGGATGCGCGAGTTAAGGTGCTGATGAAGGCTATCATCATTCAGGAAGACCCGAGCGCTAACAAGCAGGACGTCTCGGGCAGGAGCGTGGGCAGATTATTGGTCGCTGAGGAAGCAAGACGTACGGAGCTGCGGGCACGGCGGAAGCTCTTCCACTTCCAGCGCACAGCCGCCTGCTTTCGGCGTGCCGCAAGCAGCAAGAACGAGCCAGGCTCAGCCAAAGCGTGCCACGCTCATGTCAGGCCCGCACCTGAGCAGGAGACCCCCTCGCCGGGTCTAATCGATCTTAAAAGGACTGTGTGCTACGTCGGCGCGATAGCCCCGTCCGGTCAGCGTTGCTGACCATCCCATCAGTGCTCGGATCAAGCAGCGAGAGTAGATCTCGGGTCAGCTGCGCAACGTCTACGCATACATACTACACCCGCATCTTCGCGGCGCGCCCACCACAGACGAGCGCGCGCGGTCGACCGCTAACAGCGTGCCACGACTTGCTGGCCCCTCACACCGACTGCTCACCTGCTTCCGGCTGCTCCCGCCCTAGCTTCCCTGGTCTCCCTCCCACGCTTTGGCCAGCGACAGCCGCGGCCGCCTTCCTGTCCGGTCCCACCCTCTTGACGTGATACCCGGCGCCTCGAACTCACCCGGGCGCCATGCGAGGCCTGTGAAGTGCCCGGCCTCCGCCTGCGACTCAACACCGAGCATGAGGCCTGTGCCATTGCCCTCCCATCTCGCCCGCTCCAGGGCTCGCAGCAAATGCAAGCGGATTGTCGATCCGTTGAGCAATCGGATTGCAAGAGGCCATAGAGACTCGATTGCTGAGTATACAGATGCCGACGTTGGCGCGGTTCGCGCTGGTGAATGGGTGGGCGGGGCATGTGGGGGTAGAGCAGGAGACGCATGTGCATGTGCGGGATTTGGCAAGAGCGTATGTGGTGTTGTTGCATGCGATGGAGGGGCGGGGTGCCAAGTGGGTGTTGGGGAATCCGTATTTCTTTTGCGATAACCGGAGGGAGGAGTCTGAGTGGCGGAAGGCGGCGCGGCGGATTGCGGAGGGGTTGGTGAAGGCGGGGAGGTTGGAGAGGGCGGATGTGAGGGAGTTTGGGAGAGGGGATTATGTGCAGTTGTTTGGGGAAGTGACGGAGAAGGTGCTGGGGCATAATTCGAGGAGTCGGACGAGGAGGTTGAGGGAGTTGGGGTGGGAGGCGAGGGAGAAGGGGATTTGGGAGAGTTGGGAGGAGGATGAGTTGCCGGCGCTGTTGCGGGAGTGGAATGCACAGCAGGATGAGAAGAAAAGCGCTTATGGGAAGTTGGCTGCCTGATCGCGCACATGCCTCTCATATTCTGAGGCTTGGGTGGGCGCAGGACGCAGAAAATATTCAGTCAAGTGCAACGAATCAAAGCTACTTACTACCTCCTAGCATATAAAGATGGAATAATAACTAACGGCGCGCGTGAGTTGCTCAGTATTTATGAATCGACGGCGAGAGTGAAACTCTGCATGCATCGCAATTTGAATTCAATATTGTGGACTGGTTTGCTTGCGTGCACTTCTACCGAATTGGACGAAGGTTTCGAGAATACCAAATGCCAATCCACCCCAAAGGCTCAACAAGATGCTATCTCTTTCCTTCCCAGCATAAATCTATGTAACAAGCAGAAACAAGCCTTTGAAATGCAAAAGATAAAGTCACACGAAGTGCTCAGACGTCGTCATCACTGTACTGAATTTCAATGTTTCCAAATTGATATTTCGTCTAAGGAACCTACCCGTGGAGCAATTTAGAAAAGCAGAGATAATATACTTGCCATAGTTTTGAGAAAAAGTGAAACAATAACCGAAATCGTCACAGCTAGATGTACGCCCATCCTCCGACACACGAAAGCTCTCACGCGGCAATCGAGAGGATGCTCCCCCATGCTCTAACATGTCGATCTTTCCAGTTTTTCTGTTCTAGCATGATGATTTTCCATTCGAATCCGTCCTATCTGCAGCCCAGATCGCCCTCAGGCAGCTCTTAACCCCCTGGAGCTCCATGGTTCGCATTGCTACCAGTAGGGTGTGGCTGAGGTGGACCCCACCATCCTTGAGTTGGTGCATGCTGACCGTTGTGCATGCCTGGATACCCTGGAGCTTGGAAGCCTGGCGGAGGGTAAGAATAATACGGCGGAGCTGGGTAACCAGGTGGCAGTCCAGCCGGAGCGTGCTGCGCTTCAAGATTTGCTGGGGGCTGAGGAGTAGCGGCTGTCGATCGTATCATCGAATCATTATTTGTCGGTTGAGCAGCGGGCTGTACATGCAACGTCGAGTCTGGATGAGGTTGCTTGGTTCTCTCGGGCTGCTCTCGGCCCACAACTTCGTCTTTGGCCACCTCCGTAGTCTTTTCCGTACCGTCACCCACTATCTCCTCTCTGGCACGGATACGCAATGCTTTGGCCCATCTCTCAGTATCTTTATCGCGAACTCTGTTGAAATAATCCATGAACCCGAGGTACGCATTGGACACAGTTTCCAGATGGCGAACCTTGAGCTCCACCTCGGCATGAGCATCCACGACTTGCTCATGATTGCTTCCCTGAGCGGCAAACTCAGCCAGCGCGAGTGCTGTCTGACAAGCGTTCCGAATCTGCCGGCCGTTCCACCGTTCTTTGTTGTGTTCATTCCAATATTTCTCCGCAAAGCTGATTATCCCATCCTCTTCTATGACTAAGCGTCGGTTTTTCTTCTCGAAACGCTCTTTGATCAGCCGAAGGTTCAGTTTGAAGATCTCTCTCGTCGACTCCAACTGAAGTTGGGGGTAGTGGAGGCTGATGTGGATGCGAGAAGTGAAGGCCTCATCGAAGTCGCCAACTCGGTTAGTAGTCAAGAACAGGATGCCCGCATAGTATTCGAGAACCCGCAGGAAAACTACAAAGATCAACGTTAGGGGCTTTCAAAGAAGCTAGATGGCGACATACCTGATACCAATCCGTTTCGGATGAAATCTTCCTTTGACCGTGCGGCGAGGAACACATCAGCTTCATCGAGCAAGAGAACACATCCCCACTTGTTTGCCAAGTTGAAGTGTGTGCCCAAGGCCTCGTCGACATCTCTGGCCGTTGTTCCTAAGTCACCTGAACGGTTTCAATCATGTTAGAAAGGACTCCAAAATGAACAAAGTGTACTGGATGACGTAGACCCGCAACATACCACAAGTTATCTGGAAGAGCGGCTTCTCAAACTTCTCGGCCACGCCCTCTAGTCAAGCACTGTTAGCGACCGCTAGATAGTCCGGTGAAATGGGGACTCACCCGCTGTGGAAGTTTTGCCAACACCAGGGGCACCATGAAGAAGAATGATCAGACCCTTTCCTACAGCACTGTCAGTTCCTCCCACAGCTATGCCAATTAAATTTACTTCGTAGCTGCGCTCTTACCTTTACCGCGAACAATGTCAACTTGCTCGTTCTCTCCGGCATCATCCTTTCTTGAAGCGTCCTTGTCTCTGAAATGCTGAGCAATCAAAGAAAGGATCATTGTTTGGTGTCCTGGAGGAAGCACTAGTTGGTCGAAAGCTGTCTGTCGCTTCTCTTGAGTCCCAGTATTCCCTCTATGATCTTTCGCAATGTCACTTTCCGCAATGGCGACCTTGCCAGCGACACTCTCTCCAGTGACAGATCTGTTGGAGGGCCTGTTATCGTCCTGGTCGAGCTTGTTCGCGAAATGGACACCTGAGCTTTCCTTCTTCCTAGAACCCATCGGAGGTCCAAGGTAAGTCAGGTCGAGTTCCGCTTTCAACGCACAAATATCGATTAGCGAGATGTTGACGAATAAAAGGAATGAAACGAGACGAATAGAAAACAAAAACCGACTTACCCCATTTCCGGCTACGCAGCACAAAGCCGAAGACACGATAGGACATGATTACTAGATCTCGAGGATCTAATTCATTCTCTGATCGCTTGATTTCATCCAACGCCCTTGGATATATGGCCAGCGAAGGCTCTCGGATCCGGTCCTCGCTATCGGGCATCAGCCCAGCAATGTATTCCTCGTTCCGCTTCCTCTCTGCAAATTTATCTTTGAAGATTGTCTCTTGGCGACAGCAATCAAACACGCATTCTTCATCTGTCGTTTCCTCTTCTGACTGTCCAATCAGGGTTTCCAACTCCGGCATCCACCTCGCCTCAACGTTGGCAGAGAAAGCCTCTTGGAAATCCACTACAACGTGAGCGTCAACCTCATCTCTTGTATCCAGAGTGAGGCCGCTATAGTGCATATGCTTGAATGTCGTCACATCGAGAAACTTCTTGCCTCGGTCGATTAGTCGCTCCCGGAACGACTGTTTGGCGTCTTCTCTTTCATTGTGCTTTGGCTCGGCGTATCGTATGGGAAAGACTTCAAGAGATGTGACAGCCTTTTCGCCATCAAACCGTTGAATCTTGACCTCTCTGGTCACCGGACCAAGTCTTTTGCCGTCGAAATCCACGTACACGCAATGTAGGACGACGGGGGTCTCCAAATCTGGTTGCGAAATGCGGTACTTGAGCCATGCTGGCGGAATCACTTTGTGACCCGCACTTGTGATTTTGATGATACGGTAGGCTTGTCGACGATTCTGCCCAATCACCTCGTCACCGGGCTTGAAGAGGTACCAGATATCTGCGAAGGAAACTTTCTGACAGTCCTCACCGGAGATATAGTCCATCTTCTTTTGAATCTCATTGTCCATGAAGTCCATGAGAGCTTTCAAGTGATGATAGGCAGTCGTTGATGGAGTGCACTTGTCCTCATCTCTCCGGCCCAGATCGTCCTCTTGCACAATCGTTCTCTCTCTCTCTTTGTCTTTAGGCAGCGTTGTGGCACTCGTGTGCTCAGACGGACCAACCTTGCTTCTTGCTTCATCGTCTAAACCGGCTTCTCCCTCGGATTCATGATTGGAACCATGATCATCCTCATCATCTTGAACCTCAGAGATCGCATGGATCGCTTCGAACCTCTGTCGAATCTGCTCTTTGTAGTAGACTAGGGCTCTGTAAGGCCTAATCATGATGGCACCAGAGTACATAGAGATAGCCTCACTGTCAATCTCTTCGAGAAACTTTGTGATGTGCGTCGAGTTGATCCGGATACGTTCTGGAAGAGGCGCCTGCCCGGGAAGAAGCATTTCCTTTGCAGGGACAGGGGCTCTGCGTCTCTTTGCTGAATCGTCCCGAAGAAGATTCCCCTTGCGAGACTGGACCGTCTGCATCTGGTTGTAATCGAAAGTTACGATCGGCTCGCCCTTCAACACATCGATGGCAAAGGATTCTTTTGATGTCCCCTTAGAGATGGCCTTGAAAATTGACCATTCGACGTAGTTCAGGGCGGGAGTCTCCAGCTGCTTTGTCGGAAGGATATCGAAGTTTTCAGCGTCCTCGTGTGTTGGAACCAGGTGGCCTGTTTCTTCACATAGGCTCGCTGCCTTTTCGACCTTCTGCTGATTCTTCAGTAACCCTTCGCGCTCAATCGCCCATATTCCTTCGGCTAGACGCAGCGCTCTTATCTCCTCGTGGAGACCGTCAATCTTCTCTTTCTCCCCGGTAAGCATTTCAATCTCCCGCTCATATTGACGAATTGCCAGGCTCATGTAGCCGACGTCTCTGGCCCTGCCTTTCCGCCCAAATCGAAACCAGTCGCGTGACATTGGATGGTCGAAGAGCCCAGCGGCTGTCATCGGATACGGCAGATGTGGCAGGCCGCCTGGATAATCATCGCTGTCTGGATTTCTCATTTTTTCTCGCTCAGCTCTTTCCCGTTCTGTGAGATCCTGCATCTCTTTCAACTTAGATTCCAGTAGCTGCACTTTCTGGTAGATCTGATCGGTGGTCGTATCCTGTCCATGAGCGGAATGGGAGTCATCGTGATCCTTGCCGCTTGTACTTTGGTTCTTCGTGTCGACCTCTGAGTGTAAGATGTCGCCATTTTCTCCAGTATCATGGGCGCATACTGTTTCTTCGATAGGCTTACTCACGATAATTGCTAGATTAGCTAGGGGAACCATACGGATTAAGGTTGGGGACTTTGCATTTACTGACCTGATCATACGAGTCGTCCCCACCTCCTGGTGGTTCTTCCCTTAGAGTGCCGGAAGCCATGGTTTCTCTTGCTCGATTTGAGCTGTTCTGGGGAGTGGTAGATGATGATCAAGATTTGAGGATATTGGATGTCTGCTCGATAGATCAGTGGTGAGATCCCTCTTAAAATAGGTCTCCTTCTCGGAGATCGCAATAACCAGCTGGATATTCCAGATCAGCTTCTGCAAGCCAATGGTTCAGCCTCTCTCGGCTTC